GGGCTGGGGAGGATGAGGAGGCAGGTGCTGGGGTGGTGCTCAGGCCCGGGAGAGGACCGCACGGTTCTGCACCTCCACAACCAGCAACGACTCGACCTCGTCGTGACGGCCGCCGTGCACGCGCAGCCCGGGAGCTTCCTCTGAAGGGACACAAACGAGGCTGCTGATGGCAGCACTAAGTTCTGTACTTACGGTGAAAGTTTTGGGACTGCAACTTTTCCGTTACCGACCTTCGATGGGGGCTTTAATTACACAGAGACTGCAGGTGACAGGAGACAGGAATGGATTCCATCAGAGGAAGGTCAGGCAGGTATCAGTTTTGATGGGAAAAGCTGTACTTAGGTCCTAAACATCTAAATACATAGTGAAGAAAATTACAGTTTTATACTCTAGAATTTACTATTGAAAAGGGTGTCTTTCAGTAGCTACAGACAGCACTAAGGGTATAAAAAATTGTGAAAAAACACTGCCAATTTGTAATGTGAGGAAAGGACAGTCCTGCGTTGCCAGAGACTCGTCAAGCTACTTTAATCATAGAATCACAGAATGGGTTGGGTTGGAAGGGACCTCAAAGATCATCGAGTTCCAACCCCCCTGCCATGGGCAGGGACACCCTCCACTACACCAGGTTGCCCAAAGCCTCATCCAGCCTGGCCTGGAACACTGCCAGGGATGGGGCAGCCACAGCTTCTCTGGGCAACCTGTGCCAGTGTCTCACCACCCTCACTGTGAAGAATTTCTTTTTTATATCTAACCTAAATCTGCCCATTAAATAATGTTTGTTTAAAGGCGGATTCATGTTGCTTGATTGCGTCTGTCACTGCAAAGATGTATTAAAAAAATGGTTTACATGTTTTTGTATTAAGCAGAGAACTTCCCACTGTTGACCTCAAACTGACAAATTTATCTCCTCGATTGGTGTCAAATGGAAAAAAGCATGAAAAGGTATAAAATATTTCACAGCACTCAACTAAGCCACCGATCTTACGTGCTTACTGCACATGCAATAATTGTTACAAAGGTAGAATTACACCTGTTTCCTGCCTCAAACACTGAGCTACTGTTTTGTAAAAGGACAGGATGTAAGAATCTGCCTACAGCTCTTTTAAAC